ATACTATCCAATGTATTTTTCATGTCATCACTGAAGCTTCACCTGTAGGAGTTCAATTAGATCTGTTTTAAAAAACACACCTTCCATGGGGTGTGGGTGGCTCAGTCGGTTGAGCATCTGACTCTGGATTTCGGCTCAGGTCAGGATCCCAACATTGTGGGATCCAGCCCCATGTGCGATCCCAATCCAGCTTGGATTCTCTCTCTTCCTCAACCCCTCTCCCCCTGCTCCTGCTTTAAAATAAATTTTAAAGATGAAAAAAAAAAAAAAACCACCCAAAACCTCACATCTTCTGTGCCTCTAACACGATCAGTTCTCCCTCTGGCTTTTTGAACATATGGAAAACAGTTAAATTCACTCTTTTAATGCCCCTGTCTAGTAATTCTATCATTTCTGAGCTGGGTTTTATTAGTTAACTTTGCTTCTCATTGCGGGTCATGTTTTCCTGATTCTTCAAGGCCTGGTAACTTTTGATCAGCTGCCCTCATGAATGTTACACTGCTGGTGGCTGGATATTTTTGTGTTCCTATAAAACAGGCTTCAGCTTTGTTCTGGGAGTCAGTCAAGGATCTTGGAAACAGTTGATCCTTTCATGTTTTATTTTTAAGCTTTGTTAGATGGGACCGGGGCTGAGCTTAGGGCTGACTTCCCATGACATTGACACACAATGTTTCTGAGAACTCCATGCCACGTTCCCCAAATAACGAGGTTTCTCATTCTACGCGGTGGTAGATGCTGTGCTGTCAGTGCTCAGCTAAAGATGCACAAGGGAGGCTCTGCTGGCCTCTGGAGGTTTCTCTCTGTACAGCTCCCGGACCCACAGGTCCACCTCATCAATTCAGAGACAGCTGTCCTCTGCCTGGGCTCCAGGCTGCACACGGGGCAACAGCAAGACTCGCCTTGCTGGGTTTTGGTCCCTCGGGACCACTGTCCTTCACTCTGGTGCCAAGGCTTCAGTACCCTTGTGTCATGTGCTTTGTTGGCTTTCTTATTTCCATATTGGAGGGTAAACCCATCCCTAGCCCCCCTTGGCCAGAAGCAGGAGTGTCAGATCAGAGAATGGCAGGTGTGACACTCTCCAGGGTTCTTCTTTCCCTTTGCCATGACAACCAGCGACAGGGGATTGGGGGGGGAGCGGGGTGTCCTCTGGTGCCAGAGGAAGGAGCCTGCAGGACCCACACAGCTTTAGCAGCAAGGAGATTCGCTGTTTTAGCCGCTAAGACTTTAGGTTTGTTACTACAGCAGAAAACAGCCCATTCTGACCAAATGGGGTTTCCTAAGTGTTACATGACACAGAGTCTCATCATCTATGAGAACATCGTACTTGAAGAGAACATACAGAAGCTCTCGGTCCACAGCAAAGAGACCACACAAACCAAACATTAGACGACACTGGCCAAGGACAACTGTGACTCCACGGCTGTGATTAATCTTGATTGTGCACCAGGCTTCACTGTGCTGGGTGCACTCAGGGGAAATGGACAGAATGATGATGAAAACAGTACAGCCCCTCCTTCTGGAGCTCACCGAATAGCGACAAAGAAGCTCCTTAGCGAATATCCGATGTCATTACCGACTGATGAGTGCTGTGCCGAAAGCATGCAGCTTGCCACCAGCGTGGGGAATGCTAGCTTCTGGAGGATTCGGGAAGGCTTCTTTAAGGAAGTGACACATGAGCCACGTTCTGAAGCACACGCAGGCATGAACCAGGTGCAGAGAACCCCCGGAAGGGAGAGGCTGGACCGAGGCAGGACAGGCCCCTGCAGGCCTCGAGCCACAGAAAGGATCCGGTTGGGGGTGCCAGGGTGTCTCAGTCAGTTAGGCGTCTGACTCGGGCTCAGGTCATGATCTCACAGTTCGTAGGTTCGAGCCCCACAACGGGCTCTGTGCTGACAGCTCGGAGGCTGGAGCCTGCTTCAGATTGTCTCCCTCTCTCTCTGCCTCTCCCCTGCTCATGCTCTGTGTCTCTCTCTCTCAAAAATAAATAAACATTAAAAAAAATTAGGGGTGCCTGGGTGGCTCAGTTAAGTGTCCGACTTTGGCTCAGGTCATGATCCTGCGGTTCGTGGGTTCAAGCCCCACGTCAGGCTCTGTGCTCTGTGCGGGTAGCTCAGAGCCCAGGGCCTGCTTTGCATTCTGTGTCTTGCCCCTCTCCCACTTGCGCTCTTTCTCAGAAATAAACATTAAAAATAATTTAAAAAAAAAAAAAAAAAAGGATCAGGTTGTGTCCAGACAGCACTTAGAACCGCTGGAGGACTCTGGACTTGGTGCACGGATGACACAATGGAAAAGCACCCTTACAAGGGCCATTGAGGTGGCGTGGAGAACGGACTCCTGGGAACGGGGGTGGGGTGGAGGGGCTGGGCGGCCCCTAGAGGGTTGTCAGCTGGAGAGCTGGAGTGGGGAACAGTTTCAGATATGGCGAATCCTGACAGGTCCCTAACCGCTCAGATGTAAACGGGGGACGCAGGGACACGTCCAGGTTGGCTCTGGCTGATTCGATGGACAGGGCTGTCAGCTGTGAGTGGGCACGGTGGGAGAGGGCCAGCTTTGGGGCTGGGGGGGGTCACAAACCCCACGGGTTGGACAAGCTGGGACATCCAGGTGGATAAGCTGGGGCGCTTTGTTTCAGCAAAGGATGCAGCCAGCAACCCCCCCCCCCCCCCCCCCCCCCCCTGCCAGCATCGGGTGGGGTAAACAAAGAGTGTCCCCCTCGGTTATAGACAGTTCCCCCCCCCCTTCCCCCACTATGCTGCAGCTCCATTTTGTGGCTCACACTCAGGAGAGGAGGGGAGCGGGGGGTTTCCGGCCAAGCTCTGGACCGTCACACAAGCGGGGAGGTACCAGCCCTCGGGAGGGGAGCACCCCATCGTGCAACAGGCAGTATTCGGCAGGCTCCTCCTCGCTCTTCCCCGGCCAGCGTGCTGGGCTGGGCTCCCTGTAAAGACACACGCTGGGTCTATGTCCCACTGATGGGACCCCTTCCCCCGTGGGGCTCCCTCCTCACGGAAGGAGAAACCCCATCAACGGGGAAAGAGCAGGCTGCTTGGTTCGAAGGCAGCAGGATGTGGACCTCCGTGCTCTGGCGGGGGTTGTCTGCAAACGTCACCTGGCCGCACCTGGGGACCGTGGGGAGCAGGGCTGGTCCCGGCTCTTCGTCCGAGCCGCCTAGGGCCACTTCTGGATTATTCTGCCCACGGCACCACCGCACGTACAAGCATTCATCCCTGTCATTCCAGAACCAGGATCCCTTTGGTGTCGGTGCCCTCGAGTCCCCCCTTTCTGTGGGAATTTGTTTTCAGGGCGCGTGGAGGGACTATTCACAGATCGATGCTGTTGGTTTCCAGCACATCATGTGGCCGTTAGCAGAGCAAATCGCTTCTCAGTGTCCCTACGTCACAAAGCAGCACAGGAGCAGTGATGAACCAGATGTGTCTGCACAGCAACGAACCTACCTCCACTGAAGTGTGCTGAAAGGCTGCCTTTGTGTGGAAGAGAACCGTGTAGGTCCGGCCCTTACAGGAAGGTCAAGTGAACCAACTCTATTCACTGGCAGAATTAGCTGCTACCGGAAACTACCTAAAATTGGACAACAGTATCTAAGACAGGCTCTCGTAGTTCAATCCCTAAGCACTGGATGGGACTTAAGGTGTTTTATAACTTTAAAATGACGATCCTAACAGACGGGAACATATAATTTAATGTTTGACCAATGAAATAAGGGACCGTTCCGGGCCACCTGTCCAAAGAAATGCCTTAAGTTTTCCCCTCTCTGGCTACTTCTCTTTTTCACATCCATTTTCTCCCTATCTAAGCTTTGCCAAAGATACGACACACACCTTCTTCGCTGTTTTTCAGATCCCCGTGAAAGCTTCTGATACACCTCAGTGTCTCCGACAATGTGTCAAATGGCCTAGACATCAAGTGGGTTTTGGGCTGGACAGGAATCAAGACGCGGTCGACGGCAGGAACTACGACTATTCTCCAAAGACGCCGTGGGTGGGGGGCCGCCCAGAACGGGTGGTCGGAGAGGAGGGCCAGCGATTGAAAAACACAGGTCACCGCACCTTTTATTTGTTATTATACAAACCGATGGGACACGACAATTACTCGACTCCTCAAAACAGTCTTCGTGCCTTTCAAAATCCAACAGGAAGTCGCGGAGGCCACCTGGCGCCGAGAAGCCTCGAGCTTCGCGCATTCAGATGATGCCGTGGCTCGAAAGGCCGCGTAAGGTCTGTGACCCTCCCTCCCGCACCCGGGATTCTCCGAGGCGGTTTCCTGTCGGACCGAGTGAGGTGGCACCTGGCGCAGGGGGCACGTCCGCGGAAGTGCCGTTCCGGGGGCCCAGACTCTTCCTCGCCACAGAGCACGCAATTCACGGGGAGCAGCGGCGGCCTGGGATCCAGCTCTGCGAGAGTCACACCATGAACGTGGCACAGGACCCCACACCCTTACAAATCCACGGGTCCAAGGTAAGTTCTCGCGACTGCTTAATCTAGGACACCCAGCACGGACTCACAGAGCTGGGCGGCCACAACGGCCTGATCTAATGTCCCCCCGTGAACACAGCTGCGCACCCGGCGTCAGTTAAAACATGAAATACTTCCCGTCAGTAAACAGCGATGCACGCGCAGAACAATCTATGGTCGGGGACTCTTTTGGTTGAGTGGTTTTTGTTTTGTTTTTCTGCTCCCCAGCTCTTGCAAACGCAAATTCACAGCAACTGTTTTAAGACAACACGAACCTATCTGGCCTCAGGTAGTGACCCTAGTAAGACTAAAAGTGAGTAAGACCAAGCGTGTCTACAGGAAACTCAGGAGTGGCGCTGATTTTTATCTGGAGTTCTAGCTGATTATCACACAGGGGATCGTCCCACATCTGTGTGTGTAAATGAACAAGCAGGCACCAGGGCCACGCGGCCTACGCTGGGATCTTGAGGAGCATCCGATGCGTCCTTACTCGAGGCACAAAAACAACGTCTTTTAAAAAAATAAAACTGTGATTTAAAAGGCCTTTATTTCATAGGGAAGCGGAACAGGAGATAAAGGCTAAAAGAGGTTTCATCCTGTTTGTATTTTCACTTGGTCAAAAAAAAAAAAAAAACTGTCAGTGATTTTTTTTTTCTTTTTTTTTTTAAATACATTAGGAACCTCGGTACTCTTGATGACACCATGGGACCCGGACCGCTTACATTTGGAGGATGAGGACAGGATTTGAGAAAATATATCACTCCTAGCCCTAGTTCGTTTGATGGATTATTGTGTATAAAGCAGTTAATTATATACATAAATAACATAAAAATAATTATCATAAATTAAAGAGTCAAATAATCTCCCACTATTAATTCAACTGCAGGCAGGAGACGGGAGTGTGACCGAGCTGTGTCCACGGTGCGGACTCTGGGGACGCTCTTACGTGCCGCGTGGGTGACGGGAGGTCCTTAGTTCTGGAGACAGGTATTGCACGATACGAATTCGAGCCCCGTCCTCAAGATCTCACGACTCGGAATCAAGGGAAATGCTGAGGACGCTGCATTTTGCAGAAGGAGTGGCCCTTGGCCTCCCTGGCGGCCCTAGACGCCTCCTGCCTCACGGGTCCACTACTGACGTGTCACTCTTTCTTCAAGGTGGTCTCCCAAATAACACGGGATGCGTGACAAAGAGCGATCAAGGCCGCAGCAAGGCAGACGTATCATTTCATTTTGCACAGCATTAAAAAGTCTCAGGAGGCTAAAACCTGCTGCGCCTCTGGTTCCCCGGCTGAGCAGCGGGCTCACGTGAGCCTGGCCCACCACCACCTCTGACACACCGGGGACGCGGCGTGTGACAGCGTGTGCGCCGGGGACGCGGGGATGGCGCTTACTCGGCACGTGCGAGCACGAAGGCCATTAACGCTCCTACTGACGAACGGACCGCCTCTGCTTTCACGACCGCCCGGCAGCAAATGGCCGTATCTGTGTGCTTCAGAAAAACCTACACTTTTCCATTGTAAAGAGCCAAACCTCCTGCAATATTTTTATCGGAAGTTGGTCCTGAAGCAGATCAACCTTTGGACTGAAGTTGCCACAGAAAGAAAACATGACTTTCCTCCCTGCTCTTCGGTGGCTCTGGCTGAGCCTCAGCCGTAATAAATATAGTTGGATGGCGGCGGATCCCGACACGGCTCTGCGGGAGCCACCAGAGGGGACGGCACAGGGCCGACTTGTCCCACACAGTGGGGTGTCCCCTGTGTTCGGGCACCGGCGCAGAACTGGACGTGGACCGACACTCCTACAGTGCAAACGACTTTAGCGTGTCAAAATCAAGAACGACGTGGCCATGACGGCGCACCGGATACGTAATATGTGCTTGAGATAAAGTTAAAAAAACGAAAGCTGAGACTAAAAGTGAATCCACGCGTTATGTTACAAAGAGGCCTTTCGGGCCCGAGTCAGTGACCTCCGGGGACCCCTCACCCATCATAAGGCCAGAGGGGGGTCGTCCGCAGCCACGGAACACCTCCTCACGGGTCTTCGGCCCAAAGTTGCGTGCATCGAGTTGGACTCAACTCAGATCTCCAAGAAGAAAACAAACGTTACTTTAACTTCTATCTGCTCATTCGCCAGAAACAGCCGGAAGGGAGGCGCAAATGGCGTTTCCTTGCAGCCGGTGGCCCCGTGGGAACCCGTTCTCTGTGCTGACGCAGCGAGTGAGGCCCGAAAGGACACCAGCGGGCCACTCTGCTCCTCGTAACGTATCACTCACCTCTCGGCCCCTGCTCGCCTCGCTTGCCCGGACCCCGTGTCCACCAACCAGTTCTGTTAGGGGAGGCGGGTGACACGCGGCCTTGCCGGGCACAGGCTGAGCCGCTCACACATGCTGCCACCTGCCAGGAGTCACCCCCCTCCAGGCACGCTATCAGATGGCAGTGCTAGCCGGGGTGGGGGGGGGAGGGGGGGGGTCTGGAGACAATTCCGCAAAGCTGAGTCAACCTCACTTACACCTGAAGGACGATGTTTTTCTCTCGGTTTGGTATCCAGCAGACAAATCTCAAAAATAAGCAAGAGCACCTGTGGGCAGGGCTCCTCGTGAGTTCTTGGCGCTCTGGCTCAGTAGCTGTACATGTGCTGCTGGGGCTCGGCCGGCACCTGGGGCTGGGGCGCGGGCGGCTGGGGCGCGGACGGCTGGGGCGCGGGCAGGACGTCCGTCTGGGGCACCGCCCGCCACGTGAGCGGGTGCTGGTCGCCGAGCTGGTTCCCCAGGGGCGTGATGGAGTTGACCAGGGTAGTCAGGTTGATGAAGTGCGCCACGGACTGCGGGTTCGAAGCTTCCGGCTGCGGGTGGATCTGGATGTCGTTTTGGCGGTTGTGCAACATGGCAGAGCCGCTCACGGTGTCAAAGGTCACGGTCAGGATCGAGTTGTCCAGCTGTAGCTGGCGCTCCGGGGTGCTCAGGTGCCCGACAGCCACGGGCTGGAGGTTGGTAAACTGAGTCCCGGCTGCAGTGGTGATGGGGGTCACGGTGATGTTGGTCAAGCCGACGGAGCTCGACGGAGTGGTCACGTTTGGGTCCCCCAGCGTCACTACCACCTGCAAGAGTCACGCACGACACAAAGCGTCAGCAGCGTCTGCAAAACGGACAACCGCCGAACTCTATGTTGCGCTTTAGACGGGAGCCATCTCAGCACGTGGGGTGACCCCACATCCGGCCCAGACGAAGAGGAAACACTGGGCGGTGGAAGATTAAACCGAGTTAGTCTTGTCCCAGAAAAAGAATTCTAGTGACAAAGGGCAGTAAGACACAGACACAAACCTTGTCCCGGGCTGGAGAAGACGGGGGCGAAGAGGTAACGAGAAAGACAGACGTGCGCCCCGCCTCTCCCATTCCCTCCAGCCCCGCGCCTGGCTGCTGCTTAACAGAAATGCCAACCCCGAAGCACCGCACAGATGTGCGGCCCAGGAGCGCACCCGTTCAAGAGAAAGGACAGGAATGAGCTGCCAAAGAAACTCAAGAAACGTGTGCGACTGCGATGAGTATCCAAGACTGAGGACCAGCACGCGTTGATGACAGATTTGGGAGCCTCCGAACCAAAGTGCTGATGTTGAGCAAACTGGAGACGCCCACGGACAGCAGCACACAGGCCAGCCCCGAGCATCCCTCCCGGGGCTGGGGGGTCCCTGCACCCCTCCCGGGGCTGGGGGTCGGCCCACTTCCATGGCGAAGGAATACATGGAGGCCACTTCTAACCTCCGAGAAACAACCCGATCCCCAACCAGGTGGGGCTGGCTGTCCCTCACGCGCTCTACGGTCACACCACTGTTCACGACGACAGGTGTGACGTCTAGCTCTAAGCTGGGACTCGTGCAGCTGGCACGAGCTCCCGGGATTAAGGCTACATGGGCCGCGGGCCACCAAGGGGCCGCCCCCGAGTCAGGCGTGTGCACAGGAACACGTGCGGCGCGCGGCGGAAAGGGGGCCACCTGCTGGATGCTCTGCACCGCAGAGTCGGTCTCGTCACCCACGCCGGACAGCACGGGCTCCTTCTCCGAGTACTCGCTGAAGGCGCCCTCCTCGGGCACCGGGGCGCCGGCCGCCTCCGCCTCCGGCTTCTGCTTCCTCTTGTGGGCCCTCCTGGCAGCTTTCGCGTGCTTGCCCTCGGCCAGCTCCTCCTGCTCCAGACTCAGCTCAGGCTGCGGGGACAGAAGGCTCATCAACGTCAGGGTCACTGGGGCGTGTCCCCAGAGTGGCCACGGGGCTCCCAGCACTGTCCCGGCCACCTCCCTAGGCCACCATGCTGCTGCCGGGAACAGTGACCGTGGTGTCTGCTCCTTTGCGCCTCCAGGGGTTGGGGCGTGTTCCTGCCGGGTTCACTTTCTTTTCAGTGAAGAAAATCATACAGAAGTCGTACTTCTAAGAGCCGCGTCTCGCGCTGGCACGCGGACCGGCGTTTCGGTCTGGTGAGCTCGGCCCGAGGCTGCAATGCCTCTCGTGTCCGCGCTTCCACCCCCAGGCTGAAGCGAATGCACGAGACAAACGATCCTGGATCGTCAGGATGGCTCTGACCCCAAGAACTTTACGGTCACCTCCTCTGGGGACAGCAATGGTGGCCAGCCATAATGGCGACCCCAGAGAGGTGCCCTGCGCACTTCTCTGGGCCCGTCCAGGGCACACTGCCACACTGTGGCCGACCTCCCGAACCCGGCTGACGCCACGACTGAGCTCAGCGTCGCAGAGGCCACTGGGCATCGGTGGCCGGCAAGGCTCTCCAGACTAGTCCCCGACCACGCCTCCTGGGCCCCTGATGCCATCCCAGGTGACAGGATCCCACCCAGTGACAGACCCAGAGGAAGCCTGCCAGGGCCAGGCCATCGTGGGGCTGCCCTCACAGGGGCTGGACGTGGGTCGTGGGCCCCTGGTGCACCCCAGGCCTTCCTCTGCTCACTCACGACGGCCCAGCACCTGAGCACTGTGCTCAAAGCACCGTTTCCAGTACAGGGACGTGAACGTGATTTTAAAGGAATCAAGAGCATGGCATATTCCCTTTACAAGAAAAAACCATTTTTATGAAGACATTGGCTAAAAGTTCATCTAATAAAGTTATTTTGGTTACCACAATCTAATTATGCTAAGCTTTTATGGAAACTGTGATAGTTAATTTTATGCGTCACTGAGGCTGGGCTAGGGCACCTGGGTGTTTGGTTGCCCAGCAAAGATGCTGTGAAGGTGTTTTTTAGAGGAGCTTGACATTAAATCAGTGGACTCCCAGTAAAGCAGATGACCCCCTATGGTATGGGTGGGCCTCACCCAATCAGTCGAAGGCCTTAAGAGGAAAACCTGAGGTCCCTGGGGAAGAGGGACCTGTGCCTCGAGGCAGCCGTCAGACTCCAGTTGCAGCGTGAACTCTTCCCTGGGTCTCAGCCCGCCCACCCGCCCTGCAGATTTAGGACTTACCAGCTTCCACGATCACATAAGCCAATTCCTTAAAATAAACCTAACTTTGTCTCTACACCCACACCCCCTACCGCTTCTCCAGGGAGCTTGAAGATTGCTGTCTATTCTCTAAAATGAGATACCTCAGTATTGAAAACGACTGAAGTTCTGGAAACGTTACAGAAACCAGGAGACGTTCCAAAAGGCCTTGGGAGAGAGAACCTACTAGAAAACGAGAGATGCCGGTGAAAGGAAGGGACTTGGGGGCCCTGCCCAAAGGCCCCTCGCAGCACCCGTCTGGGCCCCTCTGCCCCACCCTGCGGGCCTGCTCGGTGCGCACCTGGACGATGCCGATGGAGGAGGCATCGATGGTGGTGGTCTCCGGGAGGTGGTCCAGATCATCGATCCTCACGGCCAGGACCTGCGAGCGAGCACGGGTGGTGAGCCAGGGGACGCCGCGCCGGCAGCCGATTCGGTCATTTTGACCCAGCCCGGCTCGGCGCCGTCTGGCCCCGGCCCTTCCTTCCCTCACCCCCGTCTCCCCGCGTTTCAAGTTTTCTGTGACGCTCTTACACACGGGGGGCGGGGGGGAGAGGGGTGCACCTGTCTCTTTTCTCCCTTTTTTTTTTTTTTTTTTTTTGCCTCACACTATATGCCTCCCGTAGATGGATTTTCTGTGACTCCTCTGTTAGTTCATACGATAAGCGGGGCAGGATCGGATACGAACAGCAAACCTGTCCCATGAAGAATCACCAAAAATGAAATGGTTCCACTTGAAACGCTACTTTTCAACTGGACGCAGGTACGGGAACTTGCTCTCGTCAATTCGGTGGTGAGGTGACCCCTCGCCCCCGCCTTCCCTCCATGAGTCACACTGCGGACCCTCACGCTGTCACGCGCTCCCCTGGGGGCCACCAGCCCTCCCATGGCTCAGGGGTGTCCTGCCCCTGATTCTCACCCACAAGCCAGTTCACGTGCTGCTGTGCTGATTCAGGGAATTAAATCCCAAGTGGGACAGTGCAGCGTGAGTGCAGAGAGAAGGGGCCCCCAGGAAGGCACAGTACAGGTGAGCCCTAAGAAAAGGGAACGCGCGTGGAAAGCCTACGTGAGATCGGGGGGGAAACCGTAAGTCTGTCTGCGAGGGTTCTTCACCCGGACAGCTTTGCAAGCGCCTTTACGCTTTTGCCCAACTAAGCAGGCGGAGAATCGTGGACTAGACGCGGTAGGTGCGGCTTCCGTCTCCGTCACCAGCCGCCTCCCTGCTGACACACATACTCTCATACAGCCTGGTGTCAGCAGCAGCACGAACAGCCACAGCAGAGCTCGCCCAGGCATCCCCAAGACCCCGCCACGTTCTCTGCCGTCTGGGGTCACCTCCTCTGCGTGCTGTGCTTCCTGTGGCGGCTCTACCTCTCGTCCACCTCCTGCTCTTCCCTCGGTCTCCCACCCTAGACGGCCAAGTCCAGGAGGGGGAGACACATCCTGCCCGGCTGGCTTCCCGGGGCTCACCAGCAGCGGCTCACGCGTGTGTCTGAACGACACAAAACGAAACACAGGAATGGCCCACGGAGACCAGGCCAAAGCCGCGGGGAACAGAAGAGGTGGGAACCGAAGGGCCACCACGGCACTCTCGCTGCCCTTGGACACTCATTTTGCCCAGGGCGGGTGTGTTCAGGCAGGCTACGCAGAACACTGCCCCCCTCTGAGAAGCAGGCACAAGAAAGTGACCTTGCACAGCGATCAGTTAAGTAGGAAGTGATCTTTAGCCCCGGCAAAAGGACTCGCTGGACAGAAGCGCTCGCCGAGCACCCCCGTTAACCAAGGCCTCTCTCTGCACCCAGCGACCCATGTCACCCACCCGGTCCGTGAAAACCGACCTGCACGCTCTTCGTGAACGCCCGTAACTACAGACGTTCGCACAACAGAGAACTTGCACAGGCTCCAGACTCATCGCGTGCTGCTGGGGAGGGCGCAGCGCCCACCCCAGGCCCCGAGACCTGGACATCACTGTGGCCGACAGGGGTCGGCCGAGGGGACGCTAACACTCGGGCTCCCGCAACCCGGCTGCTCTGCAAGGTGAAAACCCTGGCTGGTGGCTCGCGGAAGAGGGAATTAAGAGGAGCTCAGCTGGGGGAGTCCCAACTACACAGGCTCAGCTCAGAACGGCTCCAGGCACACAGCGGGGGGTCCCGCCCCGGCCGCGGGGGGGGGGGGCGGGCCCGGGGGGGGGGGGAGTGAGGCAGGGCTCCAGAAGGAAAAGAAATACCTACTGTCCCCACATTATGGCAGATCGTGCTTTTATGATGGCAAAAGTAATCCCTGTTCGTTAAAAGAAATTCTTACAGATGGAGAAAATATGAAAACAAGAAATTACCCATAACTTCAACACCAGGAGACCACGGTGCAACACTGTCTTCTCTTCTTTCTGTGCTGACCACTTATTTTATTTTATTTTTTAATTTATTTTATTTGAGAGAAAGAGAGTGAGAGAGAGCACGGTCAGGGAGGGGCAGAGAGAGGGAGAGAGAATCCCAAGCAGGCTCTGTGCCGTCAGCGTGGAGCCCAATGAGGGGCTTGATCCCACGAAGAGTGAGATCATGACCTGATTGAAATCAAGAGTCAGACGCTTAACCGACTGAGCCACCCAGGCGCCCTGATCAACCTATTTTGCACCGGTGAGCACCGTGTACACACACATAGCACGTAGGACACGTGGGACGCATAGCGTGTATACACATACATCATGCACCCGCTGCAGCCTTCCTCTTTACAACGGCCGTTTACAACTATATCTAGAATTCTCTGTGAAACATGTTCACAGAGCCAAGCACATTGCTACACTGTCACGAGTTTAACCACATTTCTCCTGCTGGAAACCGAGAGGTCCAAGCCATCATTTACAAAGCACTGGGACAATACCGTCCTGCCGTGTCCCAGGAGGACATCCACTGGCCAGAGTGCTGGATGCGTGCCAGCCAGCACGGTCATTTTTAATCTGAAATTCTCCTGCTAAGCCAACACACGGCGGACAGCAGCTTCAGCTAACGTTTGCATTTCTGGGATTTGGCGGGGTGGAACGTTCCTTTCTGGGTTTGAACCTCGTAGATTTCCTTTCCGCGCCTGTGCCCGTTCTTCCGGCTTCTCGTTGAATGGCTATCAGCTTTAATATCAGCGACTTGCACCTGCTAGTGACAGGAACATCTTGCACGTATTTCCAGTCTGCCCTCTGCTTACCCTTTTGGACCACGGAAGTTCTAACTGGTACGCTGTTCAGACAGTCAAATCTAAAGATGTTTTTGCTTGCGACTTTTCCCGCTGATTTTACACTTGGAAAGTCTCCCCCCGAAGTGATCTGATGTCTGTTTACCTGCATTTCTTTTCTAGTTTTGTTTTTCAGTTAATTCTCAACAAGATGCTAGCAAATTGAATCCAACAGTACATTAAAAGAATTATTTACCGTGACCAAGTGGGATTTATTCCTGGGCTGTAGGAGTGGTTTGATATTTGCAAATCAGCCAACATGACAGGCCACGGTTGATAAAACCATATGGTCCGTAAGAACTGTATGATCCTCTCAATAGATGCAGAGAAAGCAGTTCACAAAATACAGCATCCTTTCTTGATAAAAACCCTCAAGAAAGTAGTGATAGATGAAATATACCTCAACATCATAAAGGCCATATAGAAAAGACCCACAGCCAATACCCTTAACGGGGAAAAATTGAGAGTCTTTCCCCTACGATCAGGAACGAGACAAGGATGTCTGCTCTCACCATTAACTATTTAACGTGCTACTGGAAGTCCTAGCCTCAGCAATCAGACCACAAAAAGAAATAAAAGGCGTCCAAATCGGCAATGAAGAAATCAAACTTTCACTACTTGCAGACAACATAATACTCTACGTAGAAAACCCAAAAGACTCTACCAAAAAATTGCTAGAACACATAAATTCAGCAAAGCAGCAGGACATAAAATCAATGCACAGAAATCCGTTGCATTTCAATACACCAATAACAAAGCAGCAGAAAAAGAAATCAAGGAATTGATCCCATCTACGGTTGTACCCAAAACAATAAGATACCTAGGAATAAATCAAACCAAAGAGATAAAAGATCTCTACTCTGAAAACTGTAGAAAGCTTATGAAAGAGATTGAAGAAGACACAAAAAAAGTGGAGAAAGGTTCCACGCTCCTGGACAGGATGAACAAATATTGTTAAAATGTCAATACTATCCAAAGCAATCTCTACATTTAATGCAATCCCTATCAAAATACCACCAGAATTTTTTCACAGGGCTAGAACAAACAGTCCTAAAATTTGCATGGAACCACAAAAGACCCGGAATAGCCAAAGCAATCCTGAAAAAGAAAACCAAGGCTGGGGGCATCACCATTGTGGACTTCAAGCTGTAATCATCAAGACAGTATGGTACTGGCATAAAAAAACAGACATGTAGATCAATGCAACAGAATAGAGAACCCAGAAATGAACCCACAACTATATGGTCAACTAACGCTGGACAAAGCAGAAAGGAATATCGAATGGAAAAAAGACAGGCTCTTCAGCAAAAGGTGTTGGGAGAACTGGACAGCGACATGCAGAACAATGAACCTGGACCACTTTCTTGCACCAGACACAAAAATAAACTCAAAATGGATGAAAGACCTAAATGTGAGACAGGAAACCATCAAAATCCTAGAGGAGAAAACAGGCAGCCAACCTCGTTGACCTCGGCCAGAGCAACTTCTTACTCGACATGTCCCTGGAGGCAAGGGAAACAAAAGCAAAAATGAACTACTGGGACCTCATCCAGACGAAAAGCTTTTGCACAAAGAAGGAAACCGTCAACGCAACTAAAAGGCAACCAACAGAACGGGAGAGGATATTTGCTAACGATGTTACCCGTTAAAGGGTTAGTATCCAAAACCTATGAAGAACTTCTCAAACTCAACACCCAAAAAACAAAAGACCCAGTTAAGAAATGAACAGAAGACGCTTCCCCAAAGACGTCCAGACGGCCAACAGACACATGCAAAGACGCTCGACATCACCAATCATCAGGGAAATACAAATCAAAAACCCCCATGAGATACCACCTGACACCTGCCAAAATGGCTAAAATTAACAACCCAGGAAACGACAGGTTTTGGGAGGATGCGGAAAGGGGAACCGTCGTGCACTGTTGGTGGGAAAGCAAACTGGTGCAGTCACTGTGGAAAACACCATGGAGGTTCCTCAAAAAGTTAAAAAACAGAACTTCCATACGGCCCAGTAATTGCACTATAGGTATTTCCGCAAAGGGCGCAAAAACACAGATTTGAGGGTGCACGTGCACCCCAATGTTTACAGCAGCACTGCCAACAGTAGCCAAACTATGGAAAGAAACGCAACGTCCACCAACTGATGAACGCATAAAAAAGGTGCGGTACGTATATACAACGTCGTGTAACTCAGCCACTAAAAGGGATGAAAACTTGCCATTTGCCACGACGTGGATGGAGCCAGAATGTATTATGCTAAGCAAAAGACGCCAGAGAAAGACACAGACTGTATGATTTCACTCATATGTGGAATTTAACCAAACAGATGACCATACGGGAAGAGGAGGGGAAAACAGAGAGGGAAACACCTCTAAGAGAGTATGATAGAGGGTTGATGGAAGGAAGGGGGTGGGGGATGGGACTAAGGACGGCAGTGGTCGTGCTGAGCACTGGGTGTCGGACGTAAGAGAGGAATCATTAATTCTGCTCCTAAAAACACTATTATGCTGTATGCTAACTAGAATTTAAATAAAAATCTGAAAAAAAAAAAACTTAAATAGATGAATTATGCAAATGCCCCAGATCTTCCTTTGGAACAAGCGCCCAGGCCATCCAGGGTGTGCCTGCCTCTCTACAACTGCTCCCTCTAGTCAGCACCCTGCTCGGCCCCCACGCCATGTGGAGACTCCCCGTTCTGCACTCTGGATTAGCCACTCTGGAGGGAGAATCAGCCTCGTGCTCCTGTCCTGCTGGAATTCCAACAAGAACATAATCTATAACCTTACAGGGCGCCTGGGTCACCCAGGCGGTTGAACATCCGACTCTGGATTTCAGCTCAAGTCACGATCTCACGGTTGTCGTGGGATCGAGACCCATGCCGCGCTCTGTGCTGACCTGCTTGGGATTCTCTTTCCCTCTCTTTCTGCCCTTCCCCCGCTCGCTATCTCTCAAAATAAATAAACAAACACACTTTAAAAATCTAGAATGTTAGCAAAAAATATGTTTGAGGCTATTCATTCATTCACTGCTTCCCAGGTGCAGGCACTGCAAGTCAGAGGGGAAGGTAAGACCCAGGCCGTGCCTTAAGAACTGTGGGTCTACGGAGGGAGAGGGTCTGTGAGTCAGCACCGGGGGGTCTCCGAGCAGGGGCAGTGCGCACCAGACAGACGGGCAGAGTGGGGGGGGGGTGTCTCTGAGCAGGGGCAG